CTTGGTCTATGATAGCAACTTGGACATTTGTAACTTACTTATTAATCGAGCCCTTAATCACCGAATCAAAATTGTTTGACTAGGCCTTAGGCTTCAAATATACGGTTATAAAATACGATCAAACTCCAATATCTTTGTAGGGGCTCAATAAGCTCGAAATTGTCATAAATCTGCAAATTCCTACAAAATAATACCAACTCTACAAAACACTAGAAAACGTATATTAGTAATAAAAATGGCTCCGCAGAGCTCAAATAAACACAAATATGACCATGGAACGGGGAAAAAAAAATATAAAATTAGAAAACGTATATTAGTAATAAAAATGGCTCCGCAGAGCTCAAATAAACACAAATATGACCATGGAACGGGGAAAAAAAAATATAAAATAGACTCATCACCCCTCTCCGAACCACACACCTTGGCCACCTAGCTTCCTAAATCCCCCTCCAAGTATAGCTCGCATTAGAGCCCAGATTAGCATCCATAAAATTCGAATGAGGGTAATACTGAGCCTTGTACAGTTGCTCAATTAAGCTGCCCGGACGCACAAATAATCTCCATGCCCGCTTTCCGAGGAGAGCCCAATTAAACAATTTAAAATCTCTAAAATCCAACCCTCCATCCTTCTTTAAGCGACAAAACTTCTTCCAAGCAAGCCAATGAATTTTGCGTTCCCCTTATTTTTACCCCCCTCCCCCAAATTGAGCCACAGCCGATCTCATCTCACCACAAAAAAAGGATGTAAACTTAAACACACTCATCGCATAAGTAGGGAGAGATTGGGCCACTGCCTTTATCATAACCTCCTTACCCGCCTTAGATAGTACCATCCCCTTCCAACCCTACAACTTCTTCCACAACTTTTCTTTCACACCCCTCGTGGTCACCTTTTTCTATCTACCGACAACAGTAGGAAGGCCTAGATAGAGATCATGAACATCCACCTCTCTAACCCCAAATCTGTCCGCTAATTCGCCCCTCTTATCATCTCAAACCCTTTTACTAAAAGTAACTGTTGTCTTATCAAAATTTATTTTCAGGCCCGACGACAACTCATAAGTTTCTAGAATGCCTTTTATCACATCTACATTACCAGTCCCAGCCTTCGAAAAAATAATGCAATCGTCAGCAAACAGAAGATGATTCACGGAAGCGCTCTAGGAGCAATTCAAATACCCTGTAGACTGCGTCTCTCCTCCGCACTCCAAAGTAAGTGAGAAAACACTGTTGCACACAGAATAAATAAATAGAGAGAAATAGGATCTCCCTGAAGAATACCTCTCTGCGGAGTAAACTTATCCTTAAGCCTCCCATTCACCAACACAGAAAAATTCATTGACCGAACACAATCCATAACAGCTCTACTCCAACTCTGAACAAAACCAAACCTATTAAGAACCGCCTCCAAAAAATCCCATTCAATACGATCGTAAGCTTTCGACATATCTAATTTCAAGGCCATACTCCCTTCCTTACTATTCGAATTCTTCATATGATGGAAAATTTCAAAAGCGACTAAAATGTTGTCAGTGATCAGTCTCCCCGGAGTAAACGCACTCTGAAAAATTTAGATAATTTTATCCAAGAACACTTTTAGTCTGTTAGCCAAAACTTTCGAAACCAACACTTTCGAAACCAACTTATAGATCACATTACACAAAGAAATAGGCCTGAAATCACTCATACGATCTACATTATTCTTTTTCGGAATCAAAGCAATAAATGTTTTGTTTAGAAAAGAAGGAATAGGAGCACCTTTCAGAATTGATAAGACAGAGCTAAAGATAGACGGACCAACAATATGCCAGTATGATTGGGAAAAAAGCGGACACATACCCCATCCAGATCCGAAGCTTTAATAGGATGCATCTATTTCAAAGTAGCTTTCACCTCTTCCGCTAAGCACTCAAAATGTCATTCATCTTCCCTGTAACTCGACTCTGAAAATTCTGTAAAGCCTGCTCGATCATAGACGGGTGTGACGAGGTAAAGAGTTGTCGAAAATAATCAACTGCAACTTACCCCACGGCCTCAGACCCCGAGTGGACTACCTCATTGTCATCTTTCAAGCTTCGGATTGTATTTTTCCTCTTTCTACTGGATGCTCTCTGATAAAAAAAATTTGTAATTTTTTGTCACCTTCTGAAAGTCAAAGAATCCGCGAACGTTGTCTCCAGTACACTTCCTCCCGGTTCACGAGCCCTGAAATATCACGCACTAGAGCTCTCGTTGCTCTAATTGTGCAGCCGTGAGGTTCCCCTTATTCAACTTCTATAACTTTTTCCTTTTTTTTTTCCTGAGTTCTCTAAATGTAGCACCAAACTTCTCACAACTCCACGCCTTTAAACACTCCGCACAGCCCAGCAGCTTCGACTCTAGAGAGTACCACTATTCCACGCCCCTTCAATCACACTCTCACACCCCTAATCAGTTTGCCAAATTTGCTCAAACCGAAACAGTTTGTCATACAACCTGTCATTATTTTTGTTCTAAGGGACAAGCTTAATTGGGGCATGATCAGACCAATCTCTATCCAACTAAACCACATGTGCATCCGGAATCATAGTAATCCAATCATCAGTCGCTATTGCTCTGTCAAGGCGGCATTGTGTATTTTCATGTTCCTCTCTACCATTGTCATATGTGAAGGCATATCCTAAAAAAAAAAGATTTCTCAAACCACAAAAAATCGCCGCATCTCTGAAATTCTCCATTTGACACGCAACTCTATCATTGCCTCCATTTTTCTCCGACTGGAACATGATCTCATTAAAATCCCTAATACACACCCACGACAAACTAGATTAAGTCACCAAATCCCTTAATAAGCTCCACGAGAGATGTCTATTACCCACCTCCGGCCACCCATAAAAGCCCGTCAACCTCCAAGGTTCCTCTCCAAGACCACTAACAACATCCACATCAATATGGTGAACTGACATAGTCTTTAAAGAAATATCAATCCTCCTCCTCCAAAGTAAAGCAACACCTCCCGACCTCCCCATAGAATTCACCGCAATCCCTTCAAAATCACCAAGTCTATCTCGAACTTTAACAAACTCAACACTGCTCAATTTCGTCTCTGATAAAAAAATCATAGACGGGGCCTCCCTTCGGATAAGATCCCGAAGGCCAGTAACTGCAAAAGGGTTGCCTAACCCTCTACAGTTAAGACTAAGAATACTCATTGGGCTTGGCGGGGCTGCTCATCGACAACCTTCACCATTCGCCATCCGCTAGCAATTGCATTCACATTACTCTTCTTATACACCCTGAACTCCTCAGCCTCCCCATCACAAACATTCCTTATCCTCTTACCTAATCCACTATCCATCTCAACCTCCATCGCACCCTCCCCAATAACTCCCTTATCTCTGTTAAACTATAACCTAGTTCGTATAAAGTATACGATTAGAATGAAGTATATATATAATACGAAGTACAAATTTAAGTTGTTTAAAAAAAAAAGTACAAATTTAAGATGGTATCGGGTCGGGCTAGCTAACTCGAGGTACAAGCATACAACACGAGACTACATGAAAATTCGGCATCCTATAGGCTACATTTATTCCGGGCATGTTAAAGAAGTTCACGTTTTAATTACTAACGCTCGCAAATAGTAAGTGGATGACGAAAAATACATCGTCCTTGTTAGGAAATAATCTAAGCTTACTAAATGCCAATGAGATTTGTTTTTGGAAAATATATGATGTATCTATTATTTGTTTCTATCTTTTATGCTTTCATAATTAGATGAGATTTGTAATTAGGAAACTATAATCAAGCTAGGATTATTTGGGCTTGTAGAGCAAGTAATAATCCAAATTGATATGGGTTTCTAGGTTAGCCGAGAATTATTGTCTTCCTAATAAACGTGGTCTATTTTATTATCGTGTTTTGCTATTTTTTTAATTCTGTGTTTGAGGGTAAATGCTCAAATCGTTCCATTGCACACATCCGTTATAACAATCCCTTTGCACTACTTTTGGTTGTTGTTGTCGACACAACTAGCAGCGAGCCCACACCAATCCCCAACTACCAACCCGCCGCCATTAACTACAAGCCGCCACCAACAACCCAAAGGCTTTTTTTTTATTTATTATTATTAAATTATATTTTCAGGCACCGCTTGATTTTATTGGGCCACCAAGGGACGCTACTAGGTTTTCTTGGTGCTCCCTTGTGGCGTCGAGAATCAGATAGTGCTACAAGCCACCAATGTCACCAAACAAGAACGATATGACATCTTTTTCCCAAATTATGTCCTTCCAAGTTCCAAAATAAAATGAATTTTTGATTACATATTTTCAAAATAAAGAATAGACTATGAAAAACCCTACTACGCACTGACAATATGAAAACACTTCTAATTATTGCTTAGGTGGTTTTGTGTTAATTTCGTGTTTGTGTTGTATCAATGGGTACATGTAACAGCTTTGGGTCTCTCTCGTGTTGGTTTTTGTTTATAATGACTGTTGCAAACGCAAATACTTCATTCATATCCTAATAATTGTATTACAATATGGGGTTGCATAGATTCTTAAGATGATAGAGAAGGAAGCCCTAGTTTCTCTTCTTGATAAACATAATTTGCTTATCTAAGGTTAAAGATGTAATATTACTACAGACAAATTCTCTAATTGAAATAGTGGTTACAACTTACCGAATTTGTGGTTTAGGGTATACTCCCTCCATTTTTAAATACTTGCTCAATTTTAATTTTTTGCACTATTAATTTGTCCTATTTTGACTAATGTTTGTGATTAATAAATAAGAAAAAATATAGTCTTGTGGATACTTGTTGGAATCGTCTTAATGAATAGATTACTAATTTTTAATTGTTAGAATTTATACTTATTGATATTTAAAGATACTATTGATCAAAGATTAGTATCGACATACGTGTCCAAGAAAAATGAAACAAGTATTTAAAAGCGGAGGAGGTAACTCATAAAGTGAAATAAAGAATAAGAAAATGTTGCAATATTTATAAAAGTTAGTAATTGTTGCAAAGTTAGGGAACCTAGTTCGTCCGTACAAGCAATCAGAACAGTTTGAATGGGAGTTCCATACCGCCTTACCGAATTGCTCTATTCACAAAGGAACAATTCTTCATTTATTGAAGAATTTTCAGGTAATTGTTATCTGCTCAAATAATTATCATCGCGAAACTGAAAGTATATACGAGTATAATTTGTTAATAGGTGTGTTTGCTTTTATTTATTTATTTTTCTAAAATTATACAGTTTGTGATGTAATTTGCTTAGCATTTACAAAGTAGAAAGATTTATGGAAATAATTCAATTTGACTAGTGTAATTATTCATGAGAATATCAGTCCAATTGAAAGAAAAATCCTAATTTTTGTATGGGATGATATTGAAGAATGTTTGTATACTAAGATCACTTAATTACAAAATTGTATCAGCCTGTCAATGAATTTGTGATGATTACCGGGTTTTTGAGAAATTCTTGGTGATTTTTGTCCGAAAATAAGATGAAGTTGTCATTGTATCAGCAAAAATGTAGCTTGATGTTAAGGACTAATATGAGATTACTAGTCTATATCCTGCTGATGGAATGGATGCAATGCACATCTTGCATAAAGCACTTGTCCCGGCCCGAACATGCTGGTCGAGTTTGAGGTGATTGGCCTAACCTGAACACATTGTTTGATCAGCTCTATGTCAAGTAGTACGTTTTTCGTCTTAATAATTATAGACACCACTTCAGCATTGATGATTAAGAGATCGGGGAGTATAATTGTTCTGATTTACACTTTTTAGTCTATTGAACATCATTTGGGTTCAGTCTTGAATTGAATGATCAAATCTTGCTACTATTAAGCAGTTTGTCTGCTTTATGGTTAAAATTGAAATGTTCGATTGCTATACCATGTTCTGGTGTTCTGAGAAGTCTGAGAACCGATAGTTTAACTTTAGTTGGATTAAAGCGGGTATGTAAAGTAACTTAGTTTGTTCAGAATAAAATCTACACCAGCCATTCAGCCTGCAAGTACAAGGTTTATATATTTTTCTGCACTTCATCTAGTGCTAGTTAAAGGTTCAATAAACTACAGGCTACAGCTCAATGATGCAGCCGTGTTTAATTTGTCTTAACACTTAAGTATAATTCTGACCTAATAATTTATTGAGTGGAGAACAAGTGCAAGGGTAGTGAGGATCCTTGTAGAGACAAGTTCTTCTGTGTGCCGTAGTAATGAGATACCATCAAAATATAAGACATTACGTTTACCTAATAATTTATTGAGTGGAGAACAAGTGCAAGGGTGGTGAGGATCCTTGCAGAGACAAGTTCTTCTGTGTACCGTAGTAATGAGATACCATCAAGATATAAGGCATTATGTTTATAGTAAACGGACTGAAGAGCCCTTAAAATCTATAGAAAAGAGAAGGTCAAAATCGATGAAATTATGTTTTTTAGACTTATGTTGAAAATAAGATGATATAGTTGAAAATTATGTCTCGTGTTTTGTTCTTGTTAAACGTATTATATTAAGAGGAATAGAATTGGCAGGCCATATAGTACACATCAATGGATATCTCAATGCCTTCTATAGGATATCAGCGTTTAGTGTAAATACAATATACTTTGTAGTTATCTTCTGTGAGATTTTCATATCCTGTTTTGTGTACTCACTGTGCTGAGTTGGAAAATGCTTAATTACTTTTCTCAATACAATTCTTTTTAAGAGTTTGGTGCTCCTGTATCTGAATTGTGTCAATGGGGATTTCAATATCTTTGGTTCTGTTGGAAGCTCAGTTTGGTGACTGCACTAATGTGACACAACACACAAGTATTATTCGATCAGCTCTTCAACAGAGGAGAGGAAAATAGTTGTTGCTACATGCGAATTGGAATCAATGTGGTACCTCCTTATGATGTGATTTTCAGAGGACTGAATATCATTTGCATGATTAGAGGAACCCATCAGGTATACATCTGTTCTCTAAGATTTCAAGTATAAATTGTTGACTAATATGAGTTGAATATGGGTCTACTGTATGAATTACATGCTCTTTTTTCCAACTCTGTGAATCAGTGAATGGGTGAGGAAGCAAATGTGTTATTTTGGATCTGGGGTTTAGAGTGAATGGCCATGCATGGAGAGGTAGAAAAAATCATTTACCAATATGATCCGATGTTTATTTCATTAAGCTTCCAATTAAAAAAAGTTGAAGTTCTTCTCATTTAGATTGTTTCCTCAGTTTAATTTTGTTGAATTAAACTCATTTTTGTTTAAGTTACTAGCTTAGGCCCCGTGCCATGCACGGTAAGTGTAATTTCTTTTTAAAAAAATTATTATGTCTAACAAATAAAAGTGATGCTTTAAAGTAATTTCTTTAATATCAATAATATGAATCAATTTTATTACAAAGTATTACTTTTTTAGCAAAATCTAATGTTACTCCGTCTATCAGATAACTAAAAAGGAGTTAGATTAATATTTTAGGGAAGAATTATAAGCACCAAATAAAAAGGAATATTTTTGTCATAAAGATAATATAAAAGATTTGAAATGATATTATTATAATTGTATCAAATATTCACCAAAAAAAAAAAAAGATGGTTAAAAAGGGAAGGGGAATTTTGGAGGGAAAAAACAGCACCAGGATGTGACACGTGTCACCTCCGGTGTCTGTTTTAGTATTAAGTTATTGATTTCTGTTGGACTTTTTTTTCCTTTTGCTTAACATAGCTTATCTTTTGTCGAACTTGTCTTATGCTTGCTTAAATTTATTTTTACATGCTGAACTTAATTGTAATATTACTTAACTAAACATTGCCTTGGTTAAACTTATTTCAATTAGGTGTGGAGATTCTGGAGAACGAGGCCTTAGTTTTGAATTCAGCGTAAATTTGCAAATTTCACTTGGCTTGTGTGATATTAAATCTAATTAAGAAAAACAGATAAGTATGAGCCAGAGTAAATAAACTGGACACTACAAACAGAGGGGTGGGGGATTATATATTCTTTAAACTTTTAAAGGCATAAAGCCATAAAGAAAGGAAAAGTATGCACATCTTGTTTGAAAAGAAAATTGGGAATTGGTTATAAATCAGTAGAAATTCGTGTTCCTTTTTGTGGAACATGGCCACCTAAGTAGTCTGTTGACTGTTGGTTTTATGGTCAGGGTTGGTCATTCGTGTGAAGACCTCCCATATATCCAAGGGACATAGTAAACCACCTTGAGGTGGTGAATCAATGGAAAAGTTTTTCTTAAAAAAAAAAACTGAAAAAACTGAGATACGCTGTCCTGTTGGAATCAGAGGTGTTTTGAGGGGGAGTGAGCTCTATTTTTTCAGCATATGTGCAGATTAAGAAATCAATGAAGCCGAATTTATAGCTATGGAGGGATCAGAAATCTTTTCATAATGGAAAGGGGAAGAAAAGACTCATTGTACTGTCTGGTTTTTATAATATTGTAGCATGGGTGACAATGTGGAGTAGCCCTGGAATTGAGGTTTCTTTAGAACAAACTCAGAGAAGTAAATGACTTGGCAGATGCACTAGCAGAAAATGCGTCAAAGCATGGATTTATGTATGAACAACCAAACAATGATACAATGGAGCTAGCCTAGTTGTACTTTGGATTAAAGGATGAGGTGTAAAATGGCAGGTAAATATGAGATCTTTTCTAGATGGTGATTGGCAGATGCATATGGAAGAACATAGGTTTAAGATAATAGCGCCAAGAGCATATGAACTTATCTTATATTGAAAAAGGTTGTTTTAGATGTGTGTGTGAGAAAACAGTTGTGAATTTGGCTCTATCAAAAAAAAAAAAAAAAAAAAACCAAGATGTCCTACCTTTTGGTGTAACATAGCTTGAACTCTTGAAGCTATCTTCCCTTGAAAATTCTCCAAGGAAAGTTCATGGATTATTGGCCCTGACAAAAGTTGTCTTCTACTAACTGTAAGGATTTGGCCTGGCTTAGACATAAGCAACCTTATCCCTGCAGTTTTAAATTTAGAGATGATTTTGTCATGTACCTTTGATTGAAAAAGCATCTACAATGTCCTAAGCTGACATGCTAGATTGTATGCCTAAGTTAAATCACATCCCTTTGTGACAACTTGGTCGATGATGGAAATGACCAGTGGCCAGTGCATGAACGAAACGTGATCTTAAAGTTTGAGAGGAATAGCTATGATTTGTTGATCTGGAGTTTTCAGGATGGTGAAATGGTCTATTTCATCTAGTAGCCCTTTCTGACCTGGGCAGCTTATTGCTGTTGTTTAAACTCCTGGGCCCTGGAAGATTGCCCCTCGTAACTTTTCAAGCAGGTGACTGAGGATGATTCCTATGTCATATCTCAGACAGAGCCCACACCTAGGAAGCAGTTTTCAGAGTGAAAGTATGCAATTGGCAGGTTGATTATGTGACAATGCCTGCTTTTTTATGTTTTGTGGTTGTGTTGCTGCACTTGTATTTCTTTCTATGTTTTTCGAAAGAGTCCAACTTCTATTAAAAACTTCAGTCTATTCTGCACACATATGATTTGAGGGGAATTTCGCAAGCCTCATTCTGTGGTTTTCCAAGATTTTGCATACAAATTTACAAAGAATGTAATTAATCTTTTTTAATCTGAAGTTGAAGTCCACCTACAATTTCTTGTCTTAAACATAAATTGTCTGATGATGGGAATATGCAACGTAGTAGAAACCAATCCAATTCCCCCTAGCCTTTCCTTGTTTGTACTTGTTTCATATACTTGTTGAATTGCAGCAATGGATGTGCTGCTGCTCCTTACCGGAGAAGAATTTGGCTAAAATCTAGTGATTTTGAATACTGACTAGGTTATTGTCTGTACTCTGCAAGTCTGCAGTATAATAAATTTCAAGAGAATTATTTCACAGATTATATAATTTCTCTTTCATTATTAGTCTTAGTATGCTCGATTACTTCCCAAACATATGGAATACTATGAACCCTTGAGTTGATTTATGTAAATTACTAATACAATTCTAGCATACACCCTTGAAGGGGTTTCTTTGTCCTTGAAAAGATGCAAACACAGACCACACTTTAATTCAGCTTATTTGTTCAGGTTTGGAGTTGGCCTTCAGTTTAGTTCTTTCTCTTATTTACCAGATTGCTGTTAAAAGATGATGGAACAAATGATTTGAATGTGTTCTTTGCATGTAAAGCACTGTGGTGGTTTGTTTGTGTAAACCGAGCTACTCAAGTCTGGAAAAGAGGTGATTTGTTAGGGGATTGGTTTTTGTGGCTCCTGAAGTATAATGGCGAAGCATAATGGTAAGAAGCTGGTTGTTGCCTTGTGCAGGCTTAAAGGGGATATTACTACTGCGTTTCTGTTGTATGAATGAGCTATGTTGTATTCTTTTACACGACACGTTAACTTGTATGATAATGCTATCATATAGCACTTCTGTAGTTTGTTAGCTGCCTATTATTGATCAAATGTTAGTATTTGTACTTGTCAACTAATTACATTAAAGTTTAACAACACTTTTATTCCCATTACTGTCTACAGAACCAGCTTTTATAATTGTACTCCATGTATTATTTCTCACTTAAAAAATGTTACATTATCAGTTACTTGGAAATGCTAATGAGGAGTTTTGCATTCTGGTACTATAACTAACAATTTCATACAAAGTAATATGCATAAAGTAACATTCTACACTACAAAATAGATCTTGAAAAGGAGTAAATGGTCATCACGGTATGAAATGGAGAAAGTACAGCAATGTAGTTTTCAGATGTGCTGCTCATCTAAGCATGGCTGTGGGTTGTGTCGAGCCAACCTTAGTTTCTACCTTAACACGCGACATAAATTTTCGACTTGGTGCAGTTGTGCACTTCTCTATCTCACCATGTTAAACCATTTTAACTCGAGGAAATGCATTTCGTACAATCAATCAACTCTTAATTTGATCCCCTAAATTGTTTGATGATAAATTGATGCAGGGTTGTAGGGCTGTCAACTTCAGAGAATTCTGAATGCACTCAAATTCACAAAAATGTGAAAATGATGTTTAATTGGTTTAATCACAGGAGGTGGGTCCTACACTAATCAGTACTAATTTTTAACTAGCAGCACTTATTAGGGGGAGATTCCTCTCTTTTCTCCTACCTTTCTCCCAATGTGGGCCATTTATCATTATTTTGGGCCTGGGCCTGTAATGGGTAGCCCAGTAAAAGGTCCCACTTGCCCATTCATAAAATCAAAAACTCAATTAATTTCTCTGACTTCTATCTATAGGGTGTTGTAGGGAAAAACCTTTGAGATTATGTTACAATGATAGCAAAATCCGGAATTTGGTGTATGTATAGACGTATAGTTGTGTAAATCTATATACTAGTATTTTTTTTTTTCTCGAAAGTGAATGTCAACTAGCTTAATTAGTTTATGAATTATTGGGTCAAACACCCAAAATCAGTGGCGGACTTGGGCTTAGACCTGGTGGGTCAAGTGACTCACCAGGCCCAAAAAAAAATTTTAAGTTATTTTTTTAAAAAAAAAAAAAAAAAAAAAACTAAAATCAGTTTTCTCCAAATGACCAAATCACGAATTCAGTTCAAGACTTCAAGCCCTAGCCTTCTTTAGTTCTTCTCTTCGCCAATTCGCCTCTTCCCTTCAATCCTTCATCAATCATCTCCAACTCCAGTTCGCCTCTTCCTCTTCGCAAGTTCGCATCTTCCATTCTTCCTCTTCGCCTGAATCGCCTCTTCCTCAGTTCCTCTTCGCTAGTTCGCGTCGTCTTCCTCTTCGCATAATTTCAGGTTAGTCATCTTCATCTACTCATCTTTCGGCTTTTTTTATTTATTTATTTAATTGTTGATATTACTTGTTAGTTATGAATTAGTATTACTAAATTTGAACCCTAAATCCCTAATTGTTCAATAATCAACTCAATTTCAGAGAATTTTACATTATCTGAAATTCTAAATTGTGAATTTGTGAAATGTTTGACACTTTGACAGTGCTCTTCGCTAGCTTGCTCACGCCTCCAGTGCTGGCTGTGCTGCTGGCCTGCTGGGCGGCTGCTGCTCGCCTGCTGCCCTGCTCCAGTGCTCTGTGCTTTGTCCTCTGTGCTCACCGCTCTTCGCTTCGTCGCTTCTTCTAAAGTCTAATCTCCTATTCTCATTTTGCTAGTAAGTTGATTTCTAATTTTTAGTTTAAAATTCTAATCTTCAATTTATTGCAGTCTAATTAGTTAATTCTATTAAACTTTGGTTGATTTTGTTGTTGTTTGTTTGGTAAACTTTGAACCTTTTGTTAATGTTGTTGGGTTTTTGTCTTTTTGATGAAATTTGAACCTTTTTGACCATGTGATTATGTGAATTGTGGTTTGTTTGGTAAAATGATCTTTGTATATAATTTTTCTGGGGAATTTTGCTTGATTTAGTTGATTATTTATTCAAATTTCAGAATGAAGAGAAAACGCACTCCAAATGAAATGCAAAACATTACTAGCTTCTTTGCTAAAAAGAATCCTACTTCAACTTCTCTTCCACATCCAACACAAAATGAACAAACTATATCTCCACCTCAACAAAGTGAACAAACTATATCTCCACCTCAAGAAAGTGAACAACATTCATCTCCATCTAATTATTCAACTCAAAATTCCCCTCAAAATGAACAAGGCCAATGTTCTCCTAATGCCCCAATCTTTGGTGAAAGATTAAGTGAACATGAATTTGCTAATCTTCCACAAGATCCAGGAAAGAGAAGAAAGATGAGTCAATTTCATAAAGATGATAGAGATTTAGTGAGAAGAATTTACATTCAAAGAAAGCCTTGTCAGCCCAAAGACTTTATATTTCCTCAAACTTCTATTTTTGGCAAAAACCGTCGCTTTTGTGCTAAGTGGTTTGATACTTGGACTTGGCTTGAGTATAGTGTGGAAAAGGATGCTGCTATTGTTTCCCTTGTTATCTATTCAAGGATGAAAATGCATTTGGAGGTGATGCTTTTGTTAGTGATGGTTTCAAATCATGGATATAGGAAGCGACTTGAAGCTTCAATTGAATCAATCCAATGGCTTTTGGTTGTATTTTGTACTGTTTGAATATTTGGATGTATTTTTTAGTACTATTATTTGGTTGTTCGGTAATTTTTTTTTTTACATACTTGATTATCGATTGTGACCCACCAGTCGGAAATTCCTGGGTCCGCCACTGCCCAAAATCATAATAAAATTCTGTCTAATATCATTTGCCTTACAGTTGATTGTAAGATTGTAGATTCTTTTCTTTAATTTTCATACAAGTGGAATCACTAAAACAAATTTGAAAGCTAAGCCAAAAGAAGATAACATCATACAACTGCTATTATGACGACATAAGCTTGATGTCAAATGAACTTAATGTCCAACAATGTTTAATTGCAACAGTAAATGTAATTAAAACTTTGTAACATGCATACATATTGTCATGTCTAAAATATGAGAATACACCAAATCAAAAAGTCCGTAATAGGATCATTTGTCTTTGCTCTTATAAAAATGATAATAATATGTTCCACATGTACGTACATTATTATACTCTGTATTACATAAATAAATTGTTAATTGAATCTGCTCTCAAATTAAATAAATTATTGAATAATTGTCATGAAATGATTTTATAATTACTATAATATCTAGCCTAACTAAATAAAAAAAAATAAAAAAAATTGAAGGAAGTCCTTATATTTGATTGTGAATTCAAAAACGTACACCTTCCAATCAAAAGACAAACTTATTAATGGAGCACTTGAACATCTCAATTATTTGCATTATTTTCTTAATTATATGATTTGATCTCCAAATTGTAGGAGAGAAAGAAGGAGATTGATAGATGAGGGAGACAAGAAACACCACTTTTTTTCTTTACTTTATACGTCTTAGTTGGTCATATTTATGTTTAACATTATAATTAAAATAATTATGATTGACAAAGCATCACCACTATTAATTTATAATTGACTTGAATCTAAGGTCAAATCCTTTCCATGTGAAGTTAATTATAATATTTGTGTTTTTAACTTCGTATCATAATTACTCATATCAAAAGAAAACAAAAATTAACAGTTTGTTTCATTATTACTAACGTGCTTTACTTGAGGTAACAATATTACTATATGGCGGTTGTTAATATGCTGACATTAGTCGCGGGGAATAGAGACATGTGTCGCAGTGTCGTCATACTCATACACCAATTTCCCCCTCTCAAAATCACTAAACTACTACGAGTAATATTTTGTTACACTTAATTAGGTCTACATCGAAGGAATTTTAATACTAATTAAAACCAATTAATAATAGTAAGAGTAAATTCTTTACATTATAAGGTGTATCTCCGGCATCTTTCTTTGATGTCGATAATAGAAAGGTTCAACACATACATAGCTACTCGTACTATAAGTTTTAAATGAGAACCATTTCATAACAGTAATTTGGTACAGTAAGCCAGTATAACTATAAGTGACCTGCTAGTCTGCTGCATGTTGTAGAGAGCTTATTTTTACTATTTTTATTTGTGATATTATGTTTTTAAAATAGATAATACTCTTTATGTGTCTCATCCAACGAAAAGAAAGAAGTAATAAATAAACATTTTTCTGTCCATATATGGATGACGTACCTTATCATTCTCTATTTTAATTACGTTTTGACGAATGCTAATTGTATTTTAAATATTGTTTGCTCTGCATGTGAATTGACATGTAAACTGTAGAAAATTAAGATTAAAAATTCCCAGTTTGTTTCTCTGTCATCAATTCTCAAGTTTAACATCTTAAGGTAAATAGGTGCAGTGAAAGTAATAACTTTGAAAAAACTACAGTATTTAGCTACTCAAAACTCTATTTCAGATAAATAGTCCTCAAACAACAAATTGAGTGCGTGTTGAGCGTAGTGCTCCCTCCCCTAAACGACACCAACAACTTCCGTCGTAGATAGAGAGCTACAAATGATAAATGATGTAGATAAAATTTCAAAATTTACATAGCACCCTTAATACTTTAATCAACTAATCTAATTAACTTAAACTATATTTAAATTTGACTTGCTTACAACTTATTAATAATGACACGTTTATATCCCGTGTCACATGCAACATGTATAATATGATTAAATTAGCTAGTATGGGTTGAGTATGATACTATTGTGCTCTGTTAAAGCTAGACATTACTCCTCCAAACGTAACATTGTTTTGCATTCTATTGACCCATTCCCTAGGGCTCTTAACATGGTAACCATTCTTTTAGGTACAACGTTTATGATTGTATACTTGTATCATATTATTAGAAGATGGTAGGGTTTTAGGAAATGATTGTGTTTTTTTATTTTTTTTTTTTATTTTTTTTTATTTTTTTTTTTTATTTTTTTTTATTTCATTTGTTGCTTGCTTCCTTCCTTATAAACTCTACTTTCATATTGACATCTAAGACTTTTTCACAAACATAATTGTAAATGCTACAAAAAAAATTCCTACCAATTAAACACAAACCCGTTTTGATTTAATTGCAATGTTTTGTCGTCATGATTTATTTTTATCATAAATAATTAGATTCAAAATATATGCTCAAATTGCATGTGACTAGTGGACCTAAATTATGTATTACTTATAAAGATATTAATTAGTTTTGTTAATGGTGTCATATCACCTAAAAATAAAAATAAAAATAAAAATCAAGGGATTGAAATGAAGGTGTTACATATTTATATATACAGTTGATAGGACGGCCTTAGCTTAAAATTATGTGATTAGACATGGAAGGTTTTTATTTCTCAAGGCACTCTAATTACAGCTTTTGACTTGTAAAAATGAAATGGGATTGGCTAATTAAATGAGAAAATTTCATAAAAAAGGGGACCATATATTATATGATGAGGAATATTAATAGAAATTAAGAATCATAACTTTAACAAAAGGGTTGAATTTTTAGGTAATTATCCCTCTTTGAAGTTAAGTACTGTAATAATGTGACAAGATGCAGCCCACTAGAATAGTCTGGTTGAAGAGAAATTAAAGGTTATTAGCATTCTAGAGCCACAATTAAAAGTTATGTTATTAATATCTTAAGCAAATGATAGTTAATCATTGCTAGCCTAAAGCATAAAGTGACCTTAATTTTATTATCATGAATTTTGGATTTACCGTCATAAACTTTTTATTTCCTCATTAAGAAATTCATCATCGTCGGCATGAGTGAATAATTATTTTGACCGTCGGCAGCATATTTTACTTAAGGTAAAATACATACACATACCTCTTCGGGGTGTTTATTCTCTTCCTATAGGCATGATCTTAATGGATAGTGATATTCCTCGTTTTTAAATAATAGCCCACATTTTTATCTTAGATTGTTCCAATTTATAACATAACTTTACAAAATTTACTCATGTAAAAAGTTATTGATCTTTGATGCATGATCAACTACGAGTACGAGTACCATTTTTTTAAGAATTCTTATATTTTGCAAGGTAATATTGACGTGACTAAACAGAATTTTACCCGAGTTTAGTTGGTCTAGCTAATATGACCCAAAACCCAACTTAAACATGAAGTTACATCAACCATTTTTGACCCAATTAGTCACCTAATAACTAAGTAACTAGATATCTAGCTATATCAACTCATACAAAATATTATACGTGCATTGATTAGATAATTATTTGAATAGATTGACCCAAAATCAAAATAATCTATATTAACCAGCTAAATTTGGTATAGTGGTGAGGATTGTACCTGTCAATCTTAAAATTAATGAGGATTCATTAGAGGCACTTTAAGGATGATGATCCCTAGCTTACCCATTCGCCCAGCCCTCACTATCATGAAAGTGTCTAATCTACTAATTATATATGTTGCTGCGTGTGAAATTCTTATCAATTAGCATCCGATATGATTCAAGTTAAATGATTCTTTGAATTGTCGCTTATTAATTAGTAAAGATGTCATGACATATTTTGATTTTCACTCAATTTTTTGAAACAAAGACAAATTAGTTTTGCCCTATTATTTGAAGACGAAAGAAGTACAAAGCAAGAATAAAAATTACTTCGCAAATTTGGTCCACGTTTTTTTAGTATAGAGACAGGAAAACAAGGGAAATAATCTAATCATTCTTTTCAAGGGGGGAGGCATAGAAAAGAATGATAGAAAGACCCTAAAAACAAAATAAAGGTCGATTATGGAAAAGCTTTTTTTACTTTCAATTGTCAATTTTTCATCATCGCTTGAAAAGGAATACAACATATCGTTGGTTGATCAAGACTTTTATGAAAAGGACCACAACTTTGTTGTTTGTTCTATCTAACATGGCTAATCAATTAATATACGTACGAAGAGAACCAATTTCATGAATTTTTCATGCAAGACGGTACAAGTCTACATCCGATCCCCATTATTTGAACTAGGTAAATAGTTCATCAATGCTTTGATGTAATGTGATTTAGCCCCTTTTTATCACCAAAACAAAAGGTTTTCGTGAGTCGGGATGACCTAGTTTGTGAATTATTGGGGCATTATGCAAAGTGGCCCTCGAGGAGGGTTCACAGGCAACCTAACAAAATCGACGATATCTTATGTTTTGACAAGTCTATATAAACTCCAATCCTTGTGTAGCTGTGTTTTTAATTTTACGTATCATAATTTTTGTAATATGTATGCTCCAGGCTCAATAAAAATTTCCTCTCACCAGCATGTGGAAGTAACGGTTAACACATTATTAGTAAAACAATAAAATTATTAAAATATGTATCTTGTGTGTTTTCAATTAATTGTTCTTTATTAATTTTCCTTACATCAGCCACAACAAAAAAAAAAAAAAAAAAATGGATTTTGTTTAATTTAACCAATTGATATAAACTATATAAAACTTAGATTGTGTTATATAGATGTCAATATGTATTTTAGCAGTATGTAATACCTAAGGTAATTTTTGTCTACATCACAATATGTGGATATCTTTTTTGACTTACCATGGATTAAAATCATAATTTTCTCATCAACGTACCCTTGCTCTTTTTGTATGTATTAGCTTATTCTACGTAAGTAGCAAAATTATTGGATTGTCGCAATAAATAATAGTAGACTGAAGAAATAAAGATAATAATAATAAAATAAAAAAAAACGTTTTGAGCTGTTG